TTCGGATTCTCTATCGGTGGATAGTAGAAAATGTCACTCCGAAAAGATGACATTTTGATGTTGTTCCATATTTTAATGCTTATTTGCTATACTGTTTTGAAGTTGGCCAAAAATTAGATTTGTGCTACATAATAATGAAAGAAATGATGATAGCAAATCTTGGTCAATTCATTGGCCGGTCATTACCTTTTGGGGCTATGTTCATTAAAATTTTCAAACATTTTAAGATCCGCCTTGTAGGTGAAACAGAAGTTAAAATCTCTTTGGCCATTTCGGAATACACACTGACCTGTGTTGGTGGAGCTGACAATTTAACGGAAAGTCTTAATGCAGATATCCTACCAGGTGATGCTCTAGAAGACCCTCATAACAATGCTATGTTATCAACTGAACAACCTCAATATTGGACTGATTTTTGGGGCATGGAAGAAGAACGACATAATCAGCGCATTCAATGAGAACAACAAATGGCTAATCAGGTCAGTGCATTGGGTACTCAGTTTAATGCATTTGCCATTGCTCAGAACTCATTAATTCAACAATTTGTTGAGTTCCGTTTGGATACTGAAAGACGTCATCAAGTGGCAAACAATCGCATGAATCAAATTGAGCATCGTGTAAATGACATATACCAGCTGTAACAACCCTCATACTGTTTACTGATTGATTACCGATAATCACCGATTACTGTTAAACGAAACGGATAATGACTGATGACTGACTGACTGAAATTGGAAACCGAATTGATTGAGTATATGTTAGTTAAATTGCATGTTATCTGTTGACAGTATGATTATCTGTTCATGTTCATATGTTTAAACTGCTAATTGAAGGCCTTATCGGCGGCCGAATCCGAAACCGTTTAGTGTTCCGTGACCCTCGTAATTAATGTGAATTTTTGGTGTATTTACCTGAAAACTGATTAGGTATGATTAAATTAGATTAAAATAAGCTAATTAAAGAGTTTGACGTTATTACACTTTTGCCATTTAGTGGGGCCTTTGTTTACTCATATTTGAGCCTTGTGTATGCTTTATCAAAACCTTCCTTCAGCTCATTTTGAGCACATCACCGACCTTGAGGGAGAGAGGGAGAGAATAGACTTGCTCTTAGGGGTTTGGCTTAGTCAACTTGAAGAATTGCTTGAAGATTGAAGTGTGGATTGTTAATTTGAACCTCTAGACTTGCATTCAAGGAACCTAGGTATGAATTTCATCCTTGTGACTTGTGTTTAAGTTGATTCATGCATGGTTCATGTCAATTTGTAGAGCTAAGTCATGATTTGGTCCATTAATGGTGGATTGAAGCTCATTTCTTGCATGCATGTTAGTATTGTTGCATTTTGAGGTTGATTACATGGACATTAGTACATGCATGCTCATATTGTTGTTATAGACCATGTTTTCATCTGGTTTTGAAAAGAGATGAGATCATTTGAACAAGCTTTGGAGCTTTAATTTGGTTTGAAACTCATGCATGTCATGTTTGAGGATTGTTCTTGGAAAATGGTTTGAATTGGGTTTGAATAAAACACCCTTGGGCTTTGATTTCTCAAATTGAGCTTTGAATCATGTTATTCCATGTGTTTATAAGAGTTTTCCAGAAAATGAGCCCAAGAGAATCGGTTTTGTGCATTTAAACTTGAGTTTGAGCTTGGAGGTGCAATCTGGGTTTTCCAGATTTTGCACTTCCGCTCGAGCGGGGGAAATGCCGCTCGAGCGTAGAATACGAGCATCCAGCATCTCTCTGCACTGTTTTACTGTCCGCTCGAGCGGAGGATTGGGCGCTCGAGCGGAGGTTGTCTCAAGCTCAAGCGTGCATCGAGCGGAAATTTCACCCATCCAGTACTTTTACAGTACGCTCGAGCGGGAAAGTGCTCGAGCGGGCGTCGAGCGGAGATTTCACCCATCCAGTACTTTCACAGTACGCTCGAGCGGGGAAGTTTACGCTCGAGCGTGTACCTTTGTTTGCCTGTACGCTCGAGCGGGGAAACCTGAGCTCGAGCGGGACTCTGTTTTACTAAAAATTCTGTAACTGTTTTCTGATCGCATCTTTGCATCCTCATCCCATCCTAGGCATTCTTAGACCTAGTTTAAGACATCTTGATGAGGATATCGTAGTAGAACACACCAAGGCAAATTAGGGATTAAGCTATGTTATTTCCCCTTAGTGTGTGTTCAATCTGTTAACTGTGTAGGGTTGGCGACTGGGGAGACACGCTCTAGCATACTGTAGCCCAGAACTCTGTGAGTAACAATTGTGTAAAGATATGTTCAACTGATTATCTTTTGAATACTGAACTGAACTGTTTACTGAACTGATATTGTTTACTGAGTGAATGTATGTCCTTTATTTCTGAACTGTACTGTGGCATCCTTAGTACCTACTGTCTACTGTTACTGTTACTATTACAGAGATCTCTGTCGGTTCCCTCGTGGAGCCACTACTGTTTACTGACTGATGGCCATCATTACTGTTCGATCTTTCAAGACCTACTGTTACTGTGATGCTAATGGATGTACCACATATGACTGATTACTGTACTGAACAACTGAAATACTGATTGAATTGAACTGTTTTCACTACTGTAAGGACATTCATTCTAAACCCCTTTACGCTTTATGTTATTCACTGGGCTTTAGCTCACTGCTCATATATATATGTAGGTGTACAGGCACCAGACCGGAGCTAGGAGCGCGGGTTAGACTCCAGTTTTGTCAAGCCAGCCTTTGTGCCTCACTGCGAGGTTCCGAGCCTATCTGTTAAGGCTTAGGGGTCTTTTACAATCCCCCCCTTCTGTACTGTTTTACTGTTCTGTATAGACTGAGTGCTTTTGTATAACACTGTTATACAGGGATTAGGTCCCTGTACTGTGTGACTGTAAATTTTGTATAGACCGCACTGTTTTGTACAGACGGAATGTTTTCTGTACTGCTATGTAGGGTTGAGTCCCTAGTTTGAATGGATGTAAATATTGTACATACTGTTCTGTACTGTTTATGTATGAATGCATGAAAAATCTTTTTGGCATACAGACTGTCACAGCTCGTTGGACATTGTTTAATTACTGTATTGGCTTCCGCCAGGCCCTGTACTCTGTTTTACTATATTACTGTATCTGCAGGCCTTCGGTAATCTCGGATTACTGGCCGGTTACGGTGCTAAACCCATAGGGCCGGGTTTGGGTCGTGACACAAATCTTGTTGGTTATCATCAATGTCTGACTCATCTGCAAGCACAGGCAAGTTACACGTATCGGCTAGTGGGATTGGAGTTGCGTCACCAATGTCGTCGGCACCTTGCGTTATCCAAGATTGAATGATGACATCAATGTGGTCTAATCGGAAAGACCGTGCAAGGCAAACCATGTTGTCTATATCGATGTCATTTTGTAATGTAAAGCTATTGTATCCCGGCATCTTGAAAAACATGGACACATTAGCATCTATTAAACCATCAAATTTCCCGCACACACAATTCAGAAGATCGTCAAATCGATATGGGAAATACAACTTGATCGCAGCGTCCATGTTGCGATAACAACACACCAACAAAATATGCGTGTCCATACCTGTGAAAAGATAACTACGTCAGGCCGGAAATCTACGATTTCCACCAATACCGACCTACATAACTGAAAATGCAAATTCGGTTATACCCATGGAATTGGAATGTGCTTGACGTGACATTGTGGCGTCGGAAACTTGGTTGTGGTTACCCGTGTTTTACATTATAACATCGCCATTACAAAACAATACAAGAAATCACCAACCACAGTAGTGTAAGCAGAGAAACATATTGACAGAAAAATACAGTGACACACAGCAGTTCGTCACATTGATTACAAAGCAAAATGATTAACAGACACAGACCAAACCACATACCAAGATACAGACACCAAACCGAAGACCACAATTCCATTTTGCCCAATGGATATTTCTGAAACTTGGTTGTGGTTACTCGTGTTTTACATTATAACATCGCCATTACAAAAGAAAACAAGAAATCATCAACCACACAAACACGCAACAACAAAAACACACAAACATACCTTGGCAACTCAGCATTACCGACGATAAACTTCTGCAGAGCCGTCCGTGTGTCACACTAAGAAAACAAACACACAACCTCTCACGCCTCCCCAAAACCCTAACGTAACACCCCGAATGTCCCACCAATAGAAATATACGAAATACCAAAATATGTGTAATTAATCCCTACAAAATGGGTAATGCGTGAAAGGAAAGACTGCGTGAAAAGAAGGGTATAATTATCCCACTAAATAAATAAAAACAAATGAATACGATCAAAATTAAATATATTTCCTCACTAATAAAACTAATGAGAACAATAAAATAAAAATAAGATCAATTGGTAAAACTGTTTTTAGGATGAGATTTATCGATAAATAATCCTAAATTTTAACTTAATAAATAACCCACTTGCCAAACGTATTGCCATCAGTGATGAGAAATAATCAGTTGCTCACTAGGACAGAAGAAGAAATAATATTTTAATCCTGCACTGTCAACAGTACTCATTCAACATGATTGCCCACAACCATCAATATTTAAATCTCTAATGTTTTATTAAATTTAAATTTAATAAAAAAAAAATATACATTTTACTGTTTCAAAAATTTATCAAATCTTTCATCAAATTCAAAATTTCTCAGATCTTTAATCAGATTAAAAATAAATGTATCTTTTATCTAATCACTATTTATAACTGTTAGATTTTTATCATCGAATGTTTCCTGAATGACCACCTGAAAACAAAAATTTGTAAGAAATTTACACTGACCAATCAATCAGCCAAACATCCGCCCAATCGTCCTCCCACCTCTAGGCAAAAAATTTGTGCAAAATTTACACTGACCGATCAACTGACCGAACATCCGCCCGATCATCCGCCCAGTGGACTGATGTTCTAGTGAAATTTCAAAAACCTCTATTGGAATCAAATAGACCTTTTACTCAAATTTAATGAAAAATTTAATACACCGTTGAAGATATTCTTAATAGATGTTATATAAAAACCTACACAACCAAGAATCATTTGCTATAAATTGCATCAAGAGAGACCAACAAAGATGATTTGTAGGCCTAGATGCAAATTCAACAATGTTTCCATTCAGATAGAGTTTTAATGTTAGCTTGTCCATCACCCCTCTTCATTTTCAGGAACAAAAACCTGATAATAATCCCCAAATACAAATCGTAAGACCTAGGACCCTATGTCGTCATCTCCAAGTATATTACTACATAATGAAACAAACTTGGGAAGAAAATAATTCAATACCATCACCTTTTCTTAAACCCATATTTTTTTCGTTCATAGAACAGGTCTGTTTTGGCACTCCCCAAATTGACAATTTTTGGACAACCGTCCCTGTCTTTCTCCTGCTGCGTGCACTCTTTGCAATAGTAGGCATCAGAAATTCCCACTCCTCCACAGATAACACAGCGGCCCTGAAACGATCCATAGTTGCATTCATCACAAACTCGAACGAGTGTGCAAGGACGCACATAGGAGTCACAAATTACGCACTTCCCATCACACTTCTCACATAATCGTCCAATGGCAATACCTGGTTGCTTCCTGCACATAATCAAATCAGGGTGATGCTTAGCCATGCTTTCTGCAACAAGTTAATAGATCCCGAACTTGATGGTAACCTGCGACAAACTACCAAACAATTAATTAACAATAAGTCAGGAAAGAAGACAAAGGTAAATAAGGTGTTGGTCATCAAACAGAATCAAATATAAAAATTTTGGTAGATGCTCTTCCAATGATGGCAAACACAACACTAGGATAGTCATCATTTCTCCCTTCCTCTACCACAAAAAGATTTGTTAAAACCTATCACCTACTTCACCCACTTAAACCTACTCCACTAAACCTAACCCACTACACCACTACCACCTCACCTACTCCACTAAACCTAACCCACTACACCACTACCACCTCCACTTCACCTACTCCTTACCTACTACACACTCACCCTCTTCTATATATAGGAATCATGAATCATTGTAATAAATAGAACATTCAATCAATCAATAATATACATCAATTTATTTTTACAAGATTCAATGCTGTTGCTAGGAGTCTGAGACCTAATAATTGTCACTCAAAAGTTCAGTGAGAATTCAGAGTCCGTAGACAAGCAAGTCATTTTAAGCCTTGCACCTGCCACACTTCAGGATCATAAATGCTCAACTCAGTTCAGGATCATGACCTGTCCTACTATGTCAGATCTATCAATATAAATATTCTTTTTGACCAAATAAAGAACATAGGGAAAAGAAGCAAACAGTCCACAATTTAAGTCATATTAATCTTGCACTTTTTTCGTAGTTTTCTTCAAACTGAACTTCAATTATCAACCAATCCTTCCATATAATTGAGACGAATAAACATAAACTTCTCTAAATGCTTATACACTCTACGTAGTATTTGGTTCACTGGAATAAAGAAGAATGGAATGATCATTCTAACAAAATGTCCATTCTCTGTTTGGTTAGACTAAAAAAGTGATGACAAATGTATTACAAATGAAATAATCTTTCACCATTTTAAAAGAATAGTTATGCCATAGGAAAACGTAAAGAATCACTATTTCATTCCATCCCTTCTCATTCCAACTAACCAAATAGAGCATAAAGGAAAAGAATATGAGAAGAAACCTAAGAAGCATGGACATAGACACACGACACGGATACAACATGGACAAGCCAACATGTCAATTTTCAAAAAAAAATAGGATATGACACGTGAGGATCAACCATAAAATATATAAATTTATATATTTATTGTATGTCGTATATTTATGAATATAATGTTCAAAGACAATAAATAAAAAAAAATAAAAAAAAAGACAATATGACACTAATTCCTATAAATTTATATGGTTTTTCTTTTATTATTGTTTCTTAAGTTATTTTGTTCAAACTTATAATTAGTTATTAGACACGTGTGTCCTCCAAGTGCCCGAGGTTTTCAAAAAGAATTAAAAAATAGGGACACATTTTGATGAGGGTCAAAGAGTGTTGGTGTCCGACACAGACACGTCACCTTCTTAAAAGTGTCCGTACTTCTTAGGAAGAAACTAAATCCAAATTGTGTCCATAGTTGGTCTCTACACAAATTTCAGTTCCTACAATTAAGAATGAAAAATAGATTACAAAAAATTGGGTAGAATGAAACAATTCTCTGCAGTTTTATATTGATTACAAAGGCAAACCTCTTATTCAATCATCTGATCTAGTTGAAGTTCAACATAGGGTCGCCAATGAGGCAGGTTTGGTAAGGGTTTGCCTTAACCATACCCAGCCCCTAAAAGGAAAACCCTCCCTCATCCCTACACAAAACCCAAACAGAAATACACAAAACAATAAAAGGGTAAAGAGACGAAACCGAAGCCTGCACGGAAGCAGTTTCCTTAAAACAGATTTCGCCGCCTCACTGGTCGAGTGCTTGAGGAATCCCGGCGTCTGTCTCCCAGGATACGACGGTCAAAACCAGCTACGGCAGAAGCACTCTCTGTCTAGCTTAGCGAACAAAACAGTGGCAGCGCTCTCTCACTGTAGGAACTTTCAGGTAAACTGACTTGTGAAATGGAAGTAAAAATTTCTGTGTTTGAGACTTGACAGGAGGGTCTCAATTTATACATGTATAGGGGAGAGAGGAAGAGCCTCCAGCCTTTATGGCTGTTCATAATGCACCATTAACCTCTGCAATAAAGGCGGGAGTTACAAACCCCATTAATGCAGGAGTTACAAACCCCATTGATGCTCTATTAAACTCTGTAATAAATGCAGGAGTTACAAACTTCATTACCTTTTTTCCATGAAGCTAACTTCATGAGGTAATTTCTCATTCAAATTTCAATGGTTTTTGGCCATTCTATCTGTGGTGTAAAGATCTCAATGTAAAGTATCTAGACCCACTTGGACCCAACACAATAGATGGTTGGGACCCACTTTAATATTTAATTAAAGTCACCAAAAAATCATTTTTTCCAACACTAAATTCATCCCACTTACAACTTTGGTCAAAATATCCCAACTTGTATCAAATGTGAAGTGTTTTTTCTGTATTGCATGATACATCAGTTTCGCTTCAGCGATCTACAAAATGAAAATTAAAACATACCAATAACAAGTATACATTACAAAAGAAAATTGATATTTAATAACATAAATAAAAATTACCATGTCTGCCTCAGTTGTTTCACTTTGTTGCCTCAATTGAATTTGCTCAAGAAAACCACAAAATTTATTAATTGCCTTTTGCATAACAAACCAACGGTGAGACATAGAAATACGGTTTCCAATTGATTCACCGGTCAATTGTGAATTAAAATAAATGAATACTTGTTCCCAAAATATTGCCATGGTCTGACTATTACCAGTAATGGGATCTTGAGAGACTGCCAACCAAGATCTACATAAAGTTTTATCTTCTATAATTGTGAACGCTTTATCACAAGAAACACGAAGCTCTAAAGTTTGTGATTCTTCAAACATTTCAAAATCTTCCATAGTTTGAAAAAAATTCAGTAGGATACAACATCCAACTTAGACAGTGAAATATATTGTAATTATATACACTGACGCTAAGAAACAAATAATATACACTGAAGCTCACAAAGAAAATTGAAATTGTAATGATATTGTCAAACTGAAGCTCATTCATAAAGAAAATAGAAATTCTAATGATATAGTGAAGTTCAAAGATTGGTATATTTTATAGATCACAATAATGATAAGTTTGTCAAATACTCTGTAACACCAACGGCAACTTATTGGAGTTGCAGGTGCAGAACGGCTGTATTTGATACAAATCTATATACCATGCAATTTTTCTATGTTGCATTTTGGTAAAATTTAAATCTATATCAACCTTGAATTTATTGTTAGTGCCACAAAAACAACCTAATTGTCAAGCAGTTCACAGGCCAACGAAACACTGAAGCACTGCACAACAGCTTTGCAATTTTTTGTATGCAAGGTACGACTAGTGGGACCACCGGCCGGACGTCCAGCCGGTTGTCCGGTGGGGCCCACCTCCAACGTAAACACACAGTGTTCTGGTGAAATCTGCTCAAGCTCCTCATTTTGGTGAAAGTTTTAGCTCATTCTCAATTTGATATCATTTTGGTGAAACCGTTGGAAAGATAAAAGTGGTACTTTTTTTATCAAATTCAAATCTGGTGATGAATCTGATTCACCGTTGGAGATGGTCTTAGTCATTGATGGTTTTTCACCAAATATTTTTTAACGTAAATTTTCGATAATCATTTTTCAACAATAACTACCACTACTACATATTATACATGCCTCATTTTAGGGAGTAAATTATAAGTTAATTTAAAAAAAAAATATATACAAAAAATAGATAGGTTCTGTGACTCAAAAAAATCAAAAGTTAGCTTTTAACTCAGTTTGTAAATAAAAAATAAATTTTTGTTAATAAGTACCTTAGAGACACTTGTTAAAGATGAATTAAATTCTCTCAACCACTCCACTACCATAGGAAATATGAAATACTATAAATGCATTTTGTTATAAACTAAACTACCATTTTCTCCGATTCTTTCTATTTTAACATTATATATTTTTCATGATGAATTTTTTTATTTTTCTTTGAACATTTTTTTATCATTAAAGTAAATGTTATTTATTTTTAAATGACAATTTGTGGCTTTTTTTAATTGTAAAATACCATTTTATTTTCAATTACGGGTTCGTTTGGGATATGGGTTAGTTTTTTAGCTATTTTAGCTTGAGGCTAAAAAGTCTCGTTTGGGATGGATTTTTTTGACTTGTTTGACTTTTGTGAGAGAAAATGAAATGATTATAATTTAGATTTGATATTTTATCTTATTAACTTTTTTGTTTATTTTGTTTATTTTGGCTATTTTAGCCAAAAAGTCCTAGGCTTTTTCTTTTCAAACGAGTTCTTTAATTAAATTATATGGTATAAATAAAATGAATTTAAAAATTATAACAAATATAAAAAAATTTCATAAAATCAATCAACAAAGGAATATAAATTTATTTAAAAGCAAATGCTACAACGTCGTCGTTATCACCATTGCAAGTTAAGGCTACGTTTGACATGGGATTTTTTGAATTATTTTAGTCACAAAAAGATAAAAATAAGTTAAAAAATTAATAAGACAAAATGTCACATTCAAATCATAATCATTTTATTTTTTTCTCTCATAAAAGTTAAAAAAGTCAAAAAATAAAAAAAGACATCATAAATGAGACTTTTTAACCCCAAATTAAAATAGACAAAAATTCAAAAAACCAACTTACATCCTAAACAAAGGCTAAGTTTCAAGAGTTCAATATCAATACACTTTTTGATATATTTTTTACATATATATCAAACATTATACCAACTTATAAACTATCTTTAGTATTTTTTTTTTAATATATTGCTTTAGACTTGTTTTGGAAATATGATTAAAAGAAGTTTTTTAGTTTTTTATAATTTTTTGAGTCACATCTCCTCTCTATTTTGTGCACATTTTTCAAAAAACAAAAAAAAATTAAAAGAGACTAAAAAATAAACTTTTAACCTACTTTTCAAAACAAGCCTTAGTATCTTTTATTGATTGTATGTTGTATTTGAATCTTATTATTATAATTGTAATTTATTAAATTTTATTATAATATTTTATATGAATCAAATCACAAAAAATAAATAAATAAATAAATAAAATTATTACAATCTTCTGCAATTATTGTGCCCTGTATTGT